GGCCAATCACCAGGAGACAGGGAGTTCTAGTCCCGCCTTAAGCATGAAAGCCATTGGGTGACTTTGGGCCAATCACTAGGAGACGGGCAGTTCTAGTCCCGCCTTAAGCATGAAACTCAGAGAGTCTTCGACTTACAACAGTTCATTTAGTGGCCATTCCAAATTACAATGGCACCGAAAAAGTGACTTAGGACTGTTTTTCACAGTTATGACTGTTGAAGCACCCTATGGTCACGTGATCAAGATTCAGACTCTTGGCAACTGACTCAGATTTATGACAGTCACTTAATCCCCCCTTGGGCGACCTTCCGGCAAGCAAAGGCAACAGGGAAGTCGGACTCACTTAACAACCACGTTCCTAAGTTCACCCCTGCACGGATTCAGTTAACAAGGAACATCTTAAAATGGGGAAAAGCTGGCTTAAAATATGTCTCGCTTAGCAACATAATTTTTGGGCTCTGTTTTGGTCGTTAAGATGAGCACTATGAGTGATTCTCTGCCATCCCCTTCACTAAAGATGTAGGGTCTCGTCTTCAAATCGAGCCGTCCTTTTTTTCCCCTTCTGCCCTTCAAGCACTAGGTGCGAATCCAGCCAAGAGCTTAATTGTGCCTTTGATCACCACAGAGGTTGCTGAGTGGTACAACTCAAGATGATTTTGGCACCCACTGATGAGTGACGCAACACCTGTTTATCTCGGCGTGCAGGCCTCCAAAATGCGATCTTAGATGATCCCACACACAATTTTCCCAGGGACAAACAACATGCCTATTCATCGTCAAGTCAAGAAAATTATATTTTAAAATGGTTCTCGTCTCCAGGGGAACGGAGAAGTTTCTTTCCGGAATAGGGCATTAAGTTTTCTAAATTAAATATACAGGTAGCGAGAAATCTGGAAAGTTCCCTTCTGTTCAGAATGGATAGGCCTCTACTGGATCCTCTGATTCATTAATAAACTCTGCAAATTCAAAATTTGCCCATTTTTTTTCATAATGCACCTGTAATTCAGAAAAGGGACATTAAAAAAATATTAAGCCTAGAAATATGTTGTATTGAGTAACAAGAGAGAAGGAGGGGAAGATATTTGTAAGAAATAGAAAAAAATACGGACAACGGGAGAAAGTCAATTTATGGATGTTTCTTTAAAAAAGTAATAATTGGAAAGCAATCAAAGTACAACAAAATAAATCAATTTAAACATAGACCACAAAATAAATCAATTTAAACATAGACCAAAGTGAACTCAATATTGCACCAAAAAAAAAAAAAAAATCACAGAAAGGAAAGGTCTAAATTCAAGGTGTTGAGCTTTAAAAAGACCAAAGAAGCAGATCTCAGAAGGGGTCTTACAGGTCATCTAGTCCAACCCCTTGTTCCCAGGACCCCGGAACACTGCAACAGTCATAAATCTGAGTCTGTTTCCAAGTGTCTGAATTCTGACCGCATGGGAATGCTGCAATGGTCATAAGTGTGAAACATGGTCCTATGTCTCTTTTTTTTTCAGTGCCATTGTAACTTCAAATGGTCATTAATTAAATTAACTGTTGTAAGTTTAGGACTGCCTGTATTTGAATCTGAAAAAAAAAATCTGATTTTAGGTTTTGATGCTTAGAATAATTTCGCTGTTCTAGATTTTATAGCTTGAAATAAATTATGACATTTCTTTTATTAGTTTATCAAAGAAATGTAAAGCCAAAAATTGAGGCTGTAATATTTTTTTTTTGCGTGTTTTTGCACTGGAAAAAAAAAAATCAGAAATCACTTCCAATTTTTTTTCTTTCTTTTTGACTTCTTTCTCCCTTTTTCTTCTTCTCTCTAACTTTCTCAATTTTTATATGTATTTGACCTTATGTTATAAACTTTAATAATTCCCGCCCCCCCAAATGAAAACTTTCCTTTGAAACCATTGCTTGGAGCACAGATAACCCATCTTGCTTCAGATGCTAAAATGCTAAACGGCCTTCTGTACGTACCTAGAGGCATTCTTTCTGTAGAAAGGATTTGATTTTCTGAGCGTTGCAATAAACTGGACCATCCTAATGATCTTGAGCAAATTAGGACTTCAAAGCATAATTATACATTATTAACCCTCATTAACCATCTGCCTTTTGAGCAGATGTTTCCAAAATCCACTGGAAAAAAAAGTATCTGAATTTATTTTTATTTGCTACCTGCTGGGTCCCGCTAAGTGCAACTTTTCCTAGTGTTTGCATGCAAGCGTGTGCTTGGACATATCATCGGGATAACGTTTATTTCCCCCATATATTACTTTTTTCCAAAACAATTAGGATTTTTAAGGATTAGATTATTGCACTGGACAGTTGCTAAAAACAGCAATCCTTCTTTCCCTAAATATTCTTAATTGAGTTCACAATTATTCCTTTTTTTGTGTGTGTGTGCAATAGGACAAAAGAGATTGCCAACACTGATTTCAAGGTCCTTGTTCAAGTTTCTAGTCTCAAGGTTAAGATTTATTTTTATCGATCAGGATTTTTTTTATTTTTTAAAATGAGTCCAAAGCGATGCAAACTCCCAGTTTGTTTTTTTTTGCAATTTTCTCTCATCTTCGCTCACTTTTTCCGGGATGAATGTTTAAGATTTCCAGCTGTTTTTGTGCGTGCCCTGGAATTGCCTCTGCGTTCCTCTTTGCCGCTATTCTTTTCTACTTTTTCTTTCTTCCTCTTCTCTGATTTTGTCTCATTCCCTTCTTTCTTGCATTGCTTTTGCTTCGTTCCCTCTTTCCCGTCCTTCTCAGGTGTTTCCTTTTCTTCTTTTTCCTCTTGCTGTTTCTTCTTTTCTTTCTTTCCCTCTTTCGATTTTTCTTTCTTCTTCTGGGCATCCACTTTGCCCGATACGGTGGGCACTTCTTCTTCTTGTTCTTCTTCTTCCTCTGCCTTCACTTCGCTCAGACCTGGGACGGGAGGGGAGAAAAGGAAAGAGAAAGAGAGGGGAGAAGATAGAAACAAAACATGCCATTAATAACAAGAATGGGATCCCTGGTGCTTTCTGGGCTGGGTGGTTTTCTTGCAGACGTTTCATGACCCAACTGGGTAACATCATCAGTGCTAGAAGGAAGTGGGGCTCATGAAATGTCTACAATCCCCCCGCCCTTCTAGCACTAATGATGTACCCTAGTTGGGTCATGAAACGTCTGCTAGAAAACCACCCAGCTCAGAGAGCACCAAGGACTGCAGAGTCCTCCTCCTTTCCACAATCTCCCACTCCCTTCTAGCACTGATGATGTTCCCTACTTGGGTCATGAGATGTTGCAAGAAAAAAATGAGCCTCACAGTTTACGTTAAATGTTTCCTTGGTTTTTTTTTTTCATTTTGCGCAAAAAGTTCCTAATTCACTTGATTAAGCTGGGTGGTGATAGAAATTGAATAAAATAAACTAATAAAATACAGTTAACCTCAACTTACAACCATCGATTTAGTGACCAAAGCTACAACGGCACCGAAAAAACTGACTTATGACCCTTTTTCACACTTACGATCGTTGCAGCATCTCCCCCTTGGTCATGTGATCAAAATTCAGACACTTGGCACCTGACTCGTATTTATGACGGTCACAGTGTCTCATGGGGTTACATGATCCCCTTTTGCGACCTTCTGAAAAGCCAGCTCAAATCCCATATTCACTTAACAACCGTGTTACTAACTTAATAACCGGAGCAATTCACTTAACAGCTTGAGAAGAAAGGTCGTAAAATGGGGCAAAATTCATTTAACAACGGTATCGCTTAATAACAGAAGTTTTGGGCTTAGTGATGGTCGTAAGTCGAGGACTCCCTGTATCTACTGCCTATAAATTGGACCAGGTAATGTGGCAGGGAGGAAATCACTTAATTTTTAGCTGGCTGTTAATCTGGGGATTGCAAAACTCTCTTTAAAAACATTTTCTGAAGATCAGATTCATTTGCCAATTAAATGTGCAAAAAACTGTTTTGGCAAAAAAATTAACTTTACTGCAGGGAGTTATAAGACATCCTTCCGTAAAGATACATTTAGCCAATAGCCATATTTCACTTATACTCACAATATTTATTCTAATGGATTACCCATGGCTATATAAATGTCATCCGTACATTAAATAGAGATTATTTTAAAAAGCCTCTGCTAGCAGAAATATTTAAAAAAAGCACCAGGGAGCCACGAAAGATCCTTTCATGGGGATAAATTTAATTGATAGCTGTAGATTTTCTTCATTTGTAATGTTTATTCTAACTGATTACTGTATGAATGTCATATAGGCCATCCTTGATTTATGACCAAATCGGGACAAGAATTTCCCACGCTGCACCTGATTTCATGAGCTAGCTTTGCCATGGTTATTAAGTCCATCACTGCAGTTGTTAAGTGAATCATGCAGTTGTTAAATAAGTCCAACCCCCCCCCCCCCATGGGCTTTGCTTGTCAAAAGGTCTTTAAAAGCGGATCATGTGACCCCGGACACTGCAACCGTCATAAATACGAGACAGTTGCCCAGCATCCGAATTTTGATCACATAATTGCGGGCATACTGCCATAGTTGTAAGTGGGAAAATTGATTGCAAGTCACCATTTTCAGGGCCGTTGTAACTTTGAATGGTCACTAAATGAATGATCAAAGGTCTCTACTATGGTAGCAGAAATATGAAATAAAAAGAGAGAAGGTAAAAATAGAATGAGAAGAAGGAAGGAAGGAAGGAAGGATGGAAGGATGGATAGAAGAAGGAAGGAAGGATGGATAGAAGGAAGGAAGGAAGGAAGGAAGGAAGGAAGGAAGATGAGAAAGAAAGATGGAAGGAAGATGAGAAGCAAGGATAGAAGAAAGAAGGAAAGGAAGGAAGGAAGATAAGAAGGAAGAAGCAAGGATAGAAGAAGGAAGGAGGAAGGAAGATAAGAAGGAAGAGGAGGACTGATAGAAGAAGGAAGAAAAGAAGGAAGGAAGAAAAAGATTATTTGCTCTTAGATTAACTGGAGCAAATCTGGATGGAAAACAACTGAAGCAGAGAAGGAAAGTCCGAAAAAAGTGACTTATGTTTTTACTTATGTTTCATACTTATGACCACTGCAGCATTCCCTACAGTCACATGATCAAAATTTGGGCACTTGGCAACTGGCATGGATGTATGACAGTTGTATTTCCTTCTCATCACGCTTTGCATCCTTTTGACATGGAAGATCCCCGGGGTGAAGCCGGATTCACTTAAGCACCACATGATTCACTTAACAACAGGGATTTGCTTAACAACTGTGTCAAGAAAACTCATAAAATAGGGCAAAACTCACTTAAGGAGCATCTCCCTTAGCAATGGATATCTGGGACTCAGTTATGGTCATAAGTCAAGGACTTCCTATGTATTTGAATGCCCAAATAAAATATCTTTGTATTTGGTTCTTATTTTATTTTTGGAAATTTAGGTTCCATATTTTTATTTTGTGCAACCAAGAAGAAGAAGACCAAAGGAAGATCTTTTTTTTAAAAAAAAAAGGCAAACCCGTGGCATAGTTATTATTATATAAGTAGTCCACAATTTACAACAGTTCATTTAGTGATTGTTCAAAGTTACCCCGTGACTGAAAATAGTGACTTATGACCGTTTTTCACACTTAACAACCATTGCAGTCTCCCCATGGTCAGGTGATGAGAAGTCAGGTGCTTGGCAACCGACTTGTATTTACGACGGTTGCATTGTGGGTGTGATCCCTTTTTACGACCTTTTTACGAGCAAAGTCAATGGGAAAAGCCTGGTTAACTTAACAACCATATTACGGGCACCAGCTGCAGTGGTTTACTTAACAACTCTGGTAAGAAAGGTCATAAAATGGGGTGAAATTCACATAACTACTGCCTCACCTACAGCAGCAGAAATTTTGGGCTCGGTTACGGTCATAAGTCGAGGACTCCACGTGTAGGTATGCACAATCAAAACAAAATCGCTCAACTATAACATTTGTGGCACCAAGATGGATTCTGGATAAAATATGATTGGGCAACGTATCTTGCTCTTTCGTTCTGCTTGCTGTATATCGATCAGCTAAAATAAAATGTACAGAAAGTTTATTTAACCTGCCTGGAAGATTGATTAACACTGTAATTCATTCAACTTTAGATTATGTGATTAAACTTTCATTTTTTATTAATCCGATAGGTTTAAGAGATGAAGATTTTATAATAGGGTTTTTCTTTTATAAACTCATCATGTTTTGATCCTGTACTATGGTGTTTTTTAGTTTGCCAATTTTTAAAAAGGTGTGGACTTCAATTCCCAGAATCCCTCAGCCATGAGGCATGGACTTCAACTCCCAGAATCCCTCAGCCAAGATGCATGGACTACAACTCCCAGAATCCCTCAGCCATTATGTATGGACTTCAACTCCCAGAATCCCTCAGCCACGATGTATGGACTTCAACTCCCAGAATCCCTCAGCCATGATGTATGGACTTCAACTCCCAGAATCCCTCAGCCAAGATTCGTGAACTTCAACTTCCAGGATTCCTCAGCCACGATGCGTGAACTTTAACTCCGAGAATCCCTCAGCCATGATGCTTGAACGGCTCCGAGAATCCCTCAGCCATGATGCTTGAACTTCAACTCCCAGAATCCCTCAGCCATGATGCATGGACTTCAACTACCTGCACACCTCACCCGTTGTTCATGGCATTCAACTCTCCG